GCGGACCCTTCGGGCGGCCATGGCGGTGCGGACCCTTCGGGCGGCCATGGCGGTGCGGACCCTTCGGGCGGCCATGGCGGTGCGGACCCTTCGGGCGGCCATGGCGGTGCGGACCCTTCGGGCGGCCATGGCGGTGCGGACCCTTCGGGCGGCCATGGCGAGGGCCTATGGCCCCCCCCCAAAAAATTAATGGGGAGAGTGACAGAGTCATTACAAGTCTCTGGACTGGACGGAACCAGCGGTGAAGGGGTCTCTGGGCTGGACGGGACCAGCGGTGAAGGGGTCTCTGGGCTGGACGGGACCAGCGGTGAAGGGGTCTCTGGGCTGGACGGGACCAGCGGTGAAGGGGTCTCTGGGCTGGACGGGACCAGCGGTGAAGGGGTCTCTGGGCTGGACGGGACCAGCGGTGAAGGGGTCTCTGGGCTGGACGGGACCAGCGGTGAAGGGGTCTCTGGGCTGGACGGGACCAGCGGTGAAGGGGTCTCTGGGCTGGACGGGACCAGCGGTGAAGGGGTCTCTGGGCTGGACGGGACCAGCGGTGAAGGGGTCTCTGGGCTGGACGGGACCAGCGGTGAAGGGGTCTCTGGACTGGACGGGACCAGCGGTGAAGGGGTCTCTGGGCTGGACGGGACCAGCGGTGAAGGGGTCTCTGGGCTGGACGGGACCAGCGGCGAAGGGGTCTCTGGGCTGGACGGGACCAGCGGCGAAGGGGTCTCTGGGCTGGACGGGACCAGCGGCGAAGGGGTCTCTGGGCTGGACGGGACCAGCGGCGAAGGGGTCTCTGGGCTGGACGGGACCAGCGGCGAAGGGGTCTCTGGGCTGGACGGGACCAGCGGCGAAGGGGTCTCAGGGCTGGACGGGACCAGCGGCGAAGGAAGCTCAGGGCTGGACGGGACCAGCGGCGAAGGGGTCTCTGGGCTGGACGGGACCAGCGGCGAATGCTTGATGCAGGACGGATCTGTCTCAGGCTGGGCAGGCATGACGTGAATCGTCTCAGGCTGGGCAGGCATGACGTGAACCGTCTCTGGCTGGGCAGGCTGGACGCGAATCATCTCTGGCTGGGCAGGCTGGACGTGAATCGTCTCTGGCGCAGGATCAGCGGGCTCTGGCGCAGGATCAGCGGGCTCTGCTGGATCCTGGGTGAGGATGGACGGCATGGCGAAGATGGCTGGAGGCATCACTTGGGTGACGGTGATGCGGATACCTCTCTCCATCAGGATCCTGATGAGGTATTCCGTCAGGTCACGGCTAGCCAAGTCCATATTTTGTTTGGTCGGTTGTTCTGTCACGGTGTTGTGCGGGTAGAATAAGATGGCTGAGTCAAAAGCTCCAAATCAAACAGTTTTACTGATCAAACTCACAGGTACAGACAGGCAGGCAGAATGACGGGCAGAAACACACACTAAACACATCCATATAACTTTAACAACCGACAAGGACAGACTGAACAGAAGCAAACTAAATACAAGCATGAATCAGACATAACAAGGTGAAAACAGGTGACCCTGATGATGATAACGAAGGACAGGCTGGTAAGTGAGGGAGTGAATACAGGTGTGGAGACGAGGAGGATTCTGGGAAGTGTAGTGAAGATGACTAAGACAGACAGGTGCAGACGAAGACTGTGACAGTGACAACAACAAAAAATATATATAGAAAGAGCATGCATTGCAAGTTAGTTTTGAAATGACAAATATATTGTTCAAAATTTAAGAAAAAACTATTTATGATTGTCTTAATGTAGTTTCAGATTCAGTTTTTAAATGGTAATATTGTGAAATATAGTTGGTCAATTTAATGTATCCTTGCTGAATAAAAATATTCATTTCTTTTAAAAAGAAAAATAAATGTCTTTCTTTTTCGAAACAGTACGGAAATGACTTTGTGCATTCACTTAAAATTGCCGTGGGACCTGTTGGTTAAAAGTGAAGTTAGTTCTTAGAAAAGATCTTGCATCATTTGTTTCAAGATGTCCTTTGTTTGATATTTTGATATCCAAATGACATTCCTACATCTGAAGTGCGGCTTAAGTACACTAAAAAAAAAATGATTTCGGTTCAATTTAATGTGATTTTTCTTATTGCGCACTAGAAGAAGTTGTTGGTTTTGCAGCTCTGACACATTAATTAGCCCCCACAGATAACATTTTGATAACCCTGCAGCATTTTTCCACTCCCAGCAAGGGAATTTATTTTTTGGCCGCCTCTCTCAGCGTGGTTGTCAGCTGCTATCAGCACATCTACCTGTAGAACAGGAGTCTCAGATAAAGGAAATAATCCTTGATGAGTGTGCATGAGATCAACAGACAGAACTCATTTAGCCTGTCACTATCCATTATGGAGGGTTCCTGCAGAGGCTCTGAAGAAACTATCTGCTGGGCACTGTTGCCGTTTTTCCCCGTGTCGCCAATTTAATTCCAGTATGTTGCTGAGCTGTTGTGCTCAGCTGTTTTTATGACTACATCTGTGTTCATTTCACCAATGCACTTCACATCAAAAATGATTGTTATGTCAATGTGCAGTATTTTTGCTTTTATTGTTTTGTTGATGTGTATTCGATATGCAATTTTTTTCAGATGTTACAATACTTTTCCCTTATCTCAGCTTAATTTGCAGAGACAAGTCAAGTCAAGTCACCTTTATTTCTATAGCGCTTTTTACAATTCAGATTGTTTCAAAGCAGCTTTACAGAGATAACAGGAAAATAATGCAACAAAGTTTGAGTCCAGAAGAAAATAGCATCACAGTCCAGCTTAAGTAGCTCAGTGATGTTCCATTTTTGTTGTAAAAAAGTTATTAATTTAGTTCATTTATATATACAGAATATATATATATATTAGGGCTGTCAGTTAAACGCGTTATTAACGGCGTTAACGCAAACCCATTTTAACGGCGTTAATTTTTTTTAACTTTTTGGCCTAGCAAACTTTGTAGTTTTTTTCACATGCTTTTGCAACAGGACGTGGCATGCGCGGCGCTGCGCTATGAAACCCATTCACTTCAATGGCTTGTGCCGCGCGAGGACGTTTTGAAAGCGCAAGCGGATCTAGCTAGACCGGAAATAAAACAACAGGCACGCCGCACACACTTGTTTAGGCTTGCAAGCCGGCCAAATAGTAGGTTAACGTTACGTTTTGAGTGGATGACGAGCGCGAGACGCCGAAATGGATGCCAATAAGATTCTGAATGGAAAGTTTACTTTAAAAAAGTTGCCAAATGGTTCCATTGACAAGACCAAAGTGATCTGTGTGTTTTGTCGTTGTGAGCTGAGCTATCATCATCGCAGCACGTCCAGTCTGAAACACCACTTGATGGCCAAGCACACACGCACAAACACACACACACACACACAGCTGATGCGAATCCTCCGCCCCCTCGTCAATATCAGGACCTCGTCAGTATTTATTTCCCCCTTTTATTGATGGACAGTGTTACATTGTGTGAGAGATTATTTGCTCCAAGTGAGAATGTTTTAGTGTGAAATTGAACACAGTATATGCCAATGTTGTTTTCAATAAAAAAAAACATTTGCACAAAGCAAGCCAATCCACTTTTCCATGTTGATAAGAGCATTAAAATGAGAAAAAAAGAAATCAAGAGACATTTAGAATAGATAAAAATGTGCGACTAATTGCGAGTAATCGCGAGTTAACTATGACATTAATGCGATTAATCGCGAGTTAAGTATGACATTAATGCGATTAATCGCGAGTTACCTATGACATTAACGTGATTAATCGCGAGTTAACTATGACATTAACGCGATTAATCGCGAGTTAACTATGACATTAACGCGATTAATCAGAGTTAACTATGACATTAATGCGATTAATCGCGAGTTAACTATGACATTAATGCGATTAACCGCGAGTTAACTATGACATTAATACGATTAATCCCTAGTTAACTATGACATTAATGCGATTAATCGCGAGTTAACTATGACATTAATGCGATTAATCGCGAGTTAACTATGACATTAATGCGATTAATCGCGGGTTAACTATGGCATTAATGCGATTAATCGCGATTAAATATTTTAATCGTTTGACAGCACTAATATATATATATATATAGCCGCTCTGAAGAAAACCGTGATGTCATCATCCAGCTCAGTTCAGTTCTCATATAATGGTGTCAATGCAGGCAGATCAATAATATTGTTGAATATTAAATGTAATGTCCCCAACTAAGCAAGCCAAAAGCCAATGGCGAAAAGTAAGACAACTAGGTAACTTAGAAAGAAAACTAAGCCATTTATAAGTTGATTCTCTTGAAAAGTATAAAAAGCAGTGCTTTGTTTGTTTGTTGGCCACAGAAATGCAGAAGCGAAGTTTCACCTTTAAAAGAACAATAAATACGGAGCCCCCCACAACAATTTGTTTCCTCGTTTTAAGTAAATAGCGTGCGTGACATAATAAATTGTTCCCTCGATTTACTAAATCGTAACAACGTTGTACTGTAATTCGTTCCCTTGTTTTAGTTAAATCAAAAGAAGGGAACAAATTAATTCAATGTGCCCATAATTTACTAAAAAGAGGGAATGAATTAATAAATTGTGAATCGCTGGGAGAAATACAGCCTGTCTAGAACGCACAAAGACAAGCGTGATGATACAAATGGAGAACAGTCTCAGTGCTTATACTTGAGTGTTTGCAATTCTTTCCTTACATTTGAAATGGTTAAATCCATTTTTAGCCCCTGTAATCCAGTCCTAAACAACAGATGGGCCTTTGCCGGCTCTCTGATTGATTCATTTCCTGGATGTTTCAATATATAATACCTAATACATGACAGAACATCTGTTTTTGTTCAAGGCCAGCATATTAAACCATTTAAGCTTTAAATACATACCTGACCCTAATTAGACTCTTCTAAATGATCCTAATGGCTACATTTGGTGGATAGCCAGTATTTTTTATTTTTTGTTCTTTCCAGCATTATTATTGATTATTTAAGTGTGCTGCTCTCTGTCACATGATCATCTTTGTATCTCTTCAGGGACATGGCTGCCAACATTGAAATTATGCAGCTAGACTTTGAGATGGAGAACTTCACCAGCCAATCAGTCACCAGAAGAATCAACTGGAATATTGATTACCGGGGCCAGAATCCAGTGTCGGATGCAGAGAAGGTGGTCACAGAGCTGACGGTTGTGCAGAAGGACATCCAAGCCATCATTCCACTTTCAATGGTAAGAAGTTGTTCCTGTCTGCCACCTGGGGTCATAAAGTATGTGAACTGAGATTGCGCTTCAGTCCATTTTAAATGTAATTTAACTTGTCAAATAATACAATAGATCACAACAGTTACCGCCCACTTTTTCAGCAGCCTTGGTTTTCCCCATCCATTTTCTTCATAGGAATTTCGAAAAGCTTTATAATGAAGACTTTAAGCCAGAAACCACAAAACTGGATTGGAGGCACAAAAAAAAAAGAAGTAAAAAAAAGCAAAGTTGTAAAAAATCAGGCCAGAAAATATCAGCCTGAAAAAAATCATGACAATTCAGCTGGCTGCAATCACAACTGTTTCATCTGAAAATCTGCAATCTCTTAAAAAAAAAAAAAAAAAAAATGATATGGAAATCACATTGAAGTTTGGGTTCCATAACACAGCAACCTTAGAGCTCAGCGTAGGCCGACTTTGATAGGTTTATACTTTCTCGTCAGGCATGACATCTGTGGCCACGCAGAATTGGAATGCCTGTCAATCACAAAATATCTCGCACATAACCCTTTCATGTTTATTTATCCATAATTTTGGCTTTTATGATGAAACTTTCAACTATCTATCTATCAGTGAGAGATCTTTCAGCTCCAAAATAAAGGTAATCAGATTTCATTTAGGCCCATTTAATACTAAAAATCAGTTATTAATATAAAGATTTTGAATGAGATTTGTGTTTTATCAATATTTACAGTGCCTTTGAGTGATAAATGCTACGTATGGACATTTATCAGAAATTAGCACTGCATAGAAAGTCTACAGCACTTCTATTTCAATAGACACATTGGTAACACTTTGCAATAAGGTTCATTAATTAACATTTAGTTAACTACCTTAGTTAACATGAACTAAGAATAAATGATACTTCTTCAGCATTTATTAATCTTATTTAATATTAATTAACATTTACTAATACATGATTAAAATCAAATTTGTTAACATTAGTTAATGCACTGTGAACTAACATGAACAAACAATAAACAACTGTATTTTTATTAACTAACATTAACAAAGATTAATAAATACTGTAACAAATGTATTGCTCATTGTTAGTTCATGTTAGTTAATACATTAACTAATTTTAATTAGTACTTTAAAGTACATAAAAAAAAAAATAATAATAATATTTTGTCATGCTTTAAAGAAGTACACTTATTTTGATGTTGACTAGGGCTGTCAATCTTCCTCTATAATACTATTCGAATTCCATTCCTTATTTTATTTAATATTCGAATAATATTCGAATATTAAATGCTCAAATTCATCCTATTATTAATATTTACGACATTACTCAGGCTTATGGATCGCCAATGCCACTATAGCATGTGGTTGTTGTTACACGTTCTGTCCACTAGAGGGAAATCTAACATTACAATAAACATTTTATTCGTGCTGAATATGGTTGAAGCGCTACCGATGGTTTTCGGCTAATATCTCCGCTAAAACACCACCAAAAATTCTGAAACTTATATCGTTCTTTTCAGTTCGACTAGACGGTTCCAATGAGTTTGGTGCTCGCCGAATCCGTTGAGTTTTCACCAAGATATTTGCGCTTCACGGGCGCTTTTTTACGTTGTTAAACATTTACCATTTTTGACTGTATTGTTATGATGAAACAGCGTGGATAACGTGCACAATTGTGTTACGATTCAAAAACGTTATTGTTCATCAGACGAAACAAAAGCATTTCATTTTCACATGTGTGTAAGTCAAGGTGGCGAGAAAGGCAAGATTCCATATAAAAACATTAATGAATGGGAATAGGAGCAGGCTTCACTCAATGATTAAATATTCGATATTCGAATAGTAACTCGAACAATATTCGAATAGTAACTTCAGCATTCGAATAGTATTGATTTTTTTAATATTCGAATTATATTCGAATTTCGGAATTCGTTCCAACAACCCTAATGTTGACTAACATACCGGTACTAAGGTACTAAATGTAAAGTACCTGTTCATTTTAACTGTTATATATTACATGTAATATATGTTTAAATGTACTAAAGTGAAACTTCACTACAAATACTTTATTAAAAAAAATATTTAAATGCATGACATACATTAGTTTACCATAATTCCTTTTCAGTACATTCATATATTTTAACTATGTTTATAAAAGACAATAAACATAATTATGAACTTTCAAATAAAGATGTACTTAAGTGCTACTTATTTTCTTAAGGGTGTTCACATTATCTCATATTATAAGATGTGATGTCATTCACGCTTTAACTGTAGGATTTTTAAAGGAATTATGTCTATGTAAAGGGCTAGTGAGGATTTCTCATGCTCACTCCAGAAGTACAGTACAAAACTCAATTTTTTCACCTATTAAAATGTATCTCTGGTTGGTTGAAGTCATTCGCTCTCCCTCATATATTTGTTAGTGTATGTTTAAACTCTAGAATGATTCAGTACACGGGAACCAGGTTTTTTGCCACTCTTTGCTTCATGTAGAGAAGCTGCTTTGACCTGCCAGTATCCTCCATCTCCCCTGAAACCTATCGGTGTGTTTCGAAAGCCCTGTGCCGGCAGAATATAGCGGTTCAAATAACAAGAAGTGAATACAAAACAAGACAGTCATGAGGGAAATACTAAAAACTGCAGCAGTGCAGGAGCCAAGGCTTCAATTTTTCACTACCTCCCTTCATGCTCACACACAAAAAATCCAAGAACAGATATAAGCTCTGTTCCAAAACCTAGTCATTTGCTTCCCTTCCGTAGGCAGCATTTTAAGACATCATAGGTGGGCTCCCTTTAAATGAAGGCTGTTCCAACAGGTGAGCCATTTAATTATGCTGCTTCCTAAAATACCATATTTTGGCCAAATTCTAATGCAGCACCGCATTTATTCTTTACAGAGAAAAATATTTTAATTGGGGGTTCAAGCAGAAACCCTATTGTTATTGTTAAATTTCCCATGATGCAGCATTCTCCATCTAAAACTGATCGGGCAGACCGAACCGTAAGTCGTGGAGACTTGAACTGGTGGTACTCACACCGCCTACAACGTCACCAAGGCACGCCCCGATCGGCCTGACGGGGGCGCTACAGCGGGCAAAAGTACAAAATGGCTTAACTCCTAAACCGTTAGGCGTAAAGTGTCTTACATCGTTGGAATCCCTGGCTCAAGGCGGACAAAATGCATGCCTCAGATTTGCTCGCACTTCAGGTGACAATTTTTTGAGTAATTTTGGATTTTGTGAAAAACCTACTTTTGCGCGCTAGTCCTTGGCTTTTGGCCCGATCGGAACCAAACCAGTGCAGGAAGATTCTCTGGAGTCTTTTTGTTAATAATCATCAAGAAAATTCTAAATTTTGCTTCACGGTCGCTAGGGGGTGCCAAAATGTTCTATATGTCAGCGGCCATATTTACAAAAATGGCTATAACTCATGAACGGAACTAGATATTTTCACCAAACTCGGGATGCGTGTATGAGCTCAATCTGAGGTTACTTGAAAAAGTTTGTGACGATTGACCACTTGGTGGTGCCAAAAAATATAAAAATGTCTATAACCACCCAACCATTAGCCCAAATGACTTGAAAATTGGCATGCGCTGTCTTTGTACGAGCTGCCACGATAGTCTATGAGGACATTGGCGTATCTCAAAAAACATGGCCGCCAATGAAATTTGAGTATCTATCAGACAAGGTTACCAAAGGCTGATCAGAACGAAAGTCAGTGAGCATGTTTGACTCATGGCTCTAGAGTTCTGTAAGAATTTTAAAAGAAATCGGCCCCTAGTCGGCGCTAACTAGTTTTATGCCTCTGTAATCACGTTGTTTTTCACACATACACTCAATATTCATGTCATTTGCTCCACAGACAAAACAACAGCTGAAAAGTAATGTCAAACTAATAGCTTTCTTTTGTGAAGCAGGTGATGTATTATTAGTTTTATTCTTTATATTAAAACTGTGATTCTACAACATAAGAGCCAGCAGTTTTGTGGAAAACAGATAAAGTGAAAGATTTAACAATCAGTTTGTGCACAAAAAGGTATAATCTAAGGCATAACTTAGACTCACACAGACATTAAGAATCAGCATATGAATCTCAGCAATGGTGATAAAAGTATTCGTGCTGCAATGCATGATGGGGTGAGTACCTGTGCTGGTACCCAGCATGCACTGCGACATGAAACTTTTAATGTCACCATCGTTGAGATTGATATGCTGATTCTTGATCTCTGTGTGAGTCAGCATAATACCACAGAGGTTTTTAAGTCTGATTGTCACAACAATGGATCTTACAGTATCACATTTCTACTATAATTAATAATACAAAACTAATAATAGATCACCTGTTTAAACAGAGATTAGGCTCTGGATAAGTTCAGTGAATCAAGTCACTAAATTGTGAGTTTTATCATCAAAACACAACCATCAACAACTGATTATATTTTCTTTTGGCTTTTGTGCCACAACAAGTGTGTTTTATAAAGAAAAATTGGCAGACAAAAATAGAAATTAAAAATTCAAGGGTCAAGAGCCCAACTAAAGCAAACACTGATGTCCATCATGGTACCTTTTTAATGAAACAATAAATCATCAACATATAAACCTCTGTTAATTCTCAATAACAACTTCTGTAGACCCGTGACACAAATACAGTCAAACTGGTTAGTAATAAGTGAAGCTGGTAATGCTGTTTGTGGAGTGGTTTAATCCTCCTCTGCTGAGATCTTGAGAGATTTAACGTCTTTTATCTTCAGTTGATTTCATCTAAGACTGTGGATGAAGTCAGTTGTAGTTTCTTTGTTTCTCTTTCATTATTTCTCGTTCCTTTAATGATTCTGCTTGTTAGCAGCAGGTGTTCTTCACTAATGCTCAATCGTCAATTAATGAATCACTTTAATTCTTGACTGCAATGTATATCTTCTTTTAGTGACCTCAACTGAAATTACTTCAGAATACTCATAACTATTGGTTTCTAAAAAATGTAATGAATTAAGGTAATCGG